TAAAACTTAGGTTAAGAACGGAAATGGCTAATATTCCAACATAAAGGTAGATTTAGTGTAGTAATCATATTGCTAGGTGCCGACACCTGTGACATTAAATTACCTTCTACAGGTGAAAGGGCATAAGAGTGAAAAGACATGTCTAAAGCAGAATAAGAGTCCAAAGGGGTGGGGGTGGGGTGGGAGTCCAACTGAGTCACTTGGTGAGTTTAGTGTCGGGGAGAGCGGCAGCCTCTCTCCAGCTCCAACTCTAGTGGGTGCAGCGTTCCGGTCTCCCGACCCTGATGGACTTGAGTTAGGGTCTCCATTCACTTGTACAGTAAGCCCGCCCAGGCACCTCTGTGTTTGGGAGATAAGAGAGCCTGCTTTTGCTTAATCTAATTATCTCTTGGCACTAGAGTTACAAAATATTAACAAAAATCATTAACAATACATATCTAGATAGGAACCCCCGACAAGTTTTAATATCCCCGGATAGCCTGTATCTGAGGGCGCAAGCTGTCCAAATAGTGCTCAGATCCCACATACACACCCGAATAGCCACTGGTGTAAAGTTTTTAACGACCGCACACGTGATGTCTGCCCAAATTAGTTTCAGAGAAATAGTGGTAGCGGTCGGTCACTTTTGAATGAAATGTCAAACGGTTCCCCTGGCTCATAGGTAGTGATTGTTCACCTAGTTTGTGCGAACAATCCTACCGAACAGCGCTCTCCTGTCTTGTTGGTAAAAGAAGGTGGCGTTCGTATAAAATCACTGATGTTCGCAAGGTCGAGTCTGACCTATAGTTCCAGACACTCGACTACCAAGTCCCGCTGCCTGTGTTCGTGCGACAAGAGGGCCGCTGTTTTCTCCAGCACGTGTTGTTCAGTTATACAAACGGGGGCCACACAAGGAGAGCATTTAAGTTTGTGGTTAGTTTGTAGTTAATGAGCCAGGGGGTTGGTCGGCATTCGGTAGATTGCAGCTCCTGAACTGGGGAAACGTGAATGGGGTTCGGAAATCATAATATATACGAAAACTTAGCAGGTAAATCTCCTTAATACAGGGAAAATAGTAAGTTTATCACAGTATATATTTCTAATATGTGTTTGTGTGTGAATGTAGGTATATATTTCTTCTCTCTCTCTCTCTCTCTCTCTCTCTCTCTCTCTATATATATATATATATATATATATATATAAATAAATATGTACCACCTCTCTCTCACCATACAATATCTATTTCTCTTCCCACAACATCCCTGTTGGGAATAATACACTTTGCCTATATTGACCCAAGGCTCAAGCTACAGATGACCGGTTGCTCAGTCTGCACCTCTTCTGTTGAACTCCGTTCCCTTCTCTGTAAGACTTGCACCCAGTCTCCACTCATTCAAAAAATCATTGAAAACGCACTTCTTCAAGAAAGCATATCAATTAAACTGTTAGCAGGTTTTCATCCCCCACCCTCCATGACTCCTCCCCTGCAACTGTCAAAAATGACCTACTAAGCCCTCAATGAATACTTTTCTAACAACCTATTTCGTACCCCTACTTTTACCCTTTGTGTCACTATACCCCACTCCCTCTAGAATGTAAGCTCACTGAGCAGGGCCCTCAATCCCTCTGTTCCTGTGTGTCCAACTTGTCTGGTTACAATTACATGTCTGTTAGTCCACCCATTGTACAGCACTACAGAATCTGATGGTGCTATATAAATAATAAAATAATAAAAATAATAATAATTAAGCTTAACAAGCTCCAGGGTGGTTTCCGGTTCGTGCAGCTGCTCAGTTACCGAGCCATATAATTCCTATAGACAAACAGAGCCTTTTATATCACAGTTTACAGGGTCCATAGTCTGTGGGCAGGAGGCTGGCAAGCAGGTCTCTCCAAGAACTTGTGGCAAACTCACTTGAAAAGGGGAGTTTGTCACACACAACATTTCTTTCTGTCTTTTTTTTTTAGACAATCTTTATTTACGATTTTGATAATTGTACAGATAAATAGAAAAGAGTACAATACAGGTAGAGAAGAATTGAATAAACATAGTTTGTTATGAAATTCATGTAACAGTTGGCAGCAAGCATGCAGCCAATGTTGTGCCGGTAACACAGAGCAATGGATATGAAATGAAAATGAACGAGTAAAATGTGTCAGTTGTCATTCCGGTCACATTTCAGTCACTATTCCAGTTATGCCTCTTGCACCCATCATCTAACCAGAGCTTGATAGAAACTGGTGATGAGCGGGCATCCTCGTCCCCAACGCAAGATCGAGTAGGAAGAATAAAGGTGGGAGGGTATGTAGGAAGAAGGAAAGCGGAGGAAGAAGATAGAAAGCAGAGGACAGGAGAAAGAGAAAATAAAAGGGTGGGAGAAGGGCCAATCAGTAAATTGTTGTTTAGAACACATAGAACTCTGGTGGGTCAGTATATGGATCTTTGCCCACTGAGGGTCTGAAAACGTGGCACCTGTGGCTCGTTCCCAACGTGTGGTATGTCTCCTGGGATGACAGAAGTAAAGTGTACAAATCGGAGATACCCTTATGTAGGTGTACCAGTGCCCTGCACAAACTATGTTAGATTCCTGTGAAATAGGTATCATCCATATTAGGAAACGTCGTACGATTTAACTTGGAAGTAGCGGATTCTGTCCCCCTTGGGGTCCTGTTCCTCGTACTCTCTTTGATACTGGTAATCATAGACAAAGGAAGAAACTGAGGTTATACACTAATTTTTAATACAAATGCACAAAATTGTGAAACATTTTAATTCAGGTATTGTATGACACCTCTGTCTAAGGAAAAGTGAGCCTTGCACAATGTTTAAAAAGATCAATTTGAAAAGTATTCACAGGCCTCATCTATCAAACATGATGAGAATCCTAGCTAAATAATCTAATTAAAATTAAACCTGTCTTTTTAAGTAGATTTTGTCCCCTCAAATTAGCATGCCTTAACATCTCCAATAACATATATTGCTCTAAATAAGACAGTTATGTTGCTGCCAATTAATTTTTCAACATTTGTGTAATTATTTCATTTCAGTAGTTAGGAAGCGCAATCTGTTCAGAAAATTGGCTTATTTAACAACACAGCTTTATGACATTAACGGAAAAACATTACATTTTCCAATTGTGTGCATACGAATGGGGACAGCAAGAGCATTTTTTAACAAAATAAAAGCAAACAATCAGCGAGATATCATCCAATCTGGCTGCGATACTATTAAACCGCAAACAAACTGTATTGTGAAATCAATGGAGGGTTTCCGAACCCAGAAATGGATCAATTAGTAAATGTTTATAGAAGTAATACATTCTTCATACAAATGAGCCCAATCCGTGATTAGAACACTGTGACAAACACTGTATCCCACATACGTTTGCCATGGACTCCTGGAAGAGTGTAGAAGCCGGCCTCCTGCCCACCGACTATGGTCCAGGTCTGGGACACGTTTGGGAGTTATTATTTATATAGCGGGATAGAGGACCTAACTACACTGCATGGATCTGAGCGCTATTTGGAGAACTTGGGTGCTCAGATCAGAGCTATTTAACAATGTATTGCTTGTGGGGTCCCCTTGTCTTTTCCCTTGGACTGATTCTACCCTGGGAAAGGGGAGTTGGGAGGGGAGATAAGCTACAGTTTTGCCCACACACACAAAGAGACCAGGGACTGTCTTGCACCCACTTATCCAGTCACATTGGACTTGGTCCCCCAAGGACTGTGGACTCAGGGGGATCCAACAGACTTGTTGCAGGCCCGTCGTGGGTCTGGCCACAAGTCTGTCTATTTCTATGGGGGGTGATATGTGATGGATGGCCTTATTTGTTTGGCACAAGCCACAAGCTTTCAACACCATTTTTGTGACTGTTTTTCCTGTGTAGCGGACCCCTGGTAACCCGACCGGTTACCTCCACTAATTCCCTTTCTTCAGCCAGTCAGGAACCATTTACAGTACAAAGAGTAACTGGATGGCACACAGTCCTGGAAGTACAACACAATTTTATTGGCCACACACAGCTTTTATGCATAACCCGGTGCCAGAGGTTACCCACACAAACATACAAGGATACATCCCAAGATCCTCCCCTTCACTGGGGTCCCAGCGCGGGAAGGGACTCAGTTCCCTTTGTCCCCAAAACCCACCACTAAATCCCCAGGGTTCCCCAGACCAACCACCAGGGCCTCTGTGCCTGGGGGTCTTGGCGTGGGAAAAAAGAGAGCTCATGAGAGCCTGCCAAACTCTCCAGTGTCGTAGAAATGCCCACACCAATCTCAGGGACCCTCGCCCTGGTCTCTCCATTTGTGAGGTCCTGGTGTGAAACCCAGACAAGGGTAGCGTCTCGTTTCGGGGTATGAATGCTCCCCCTGGCTGGCATTCGCCTGTACGAATGGTGGCCACCCAGGAGAGCACTCATTAATTACATCCCTTGCGGTTTCACACCTATGTTGTGGGTGGGAAAGTTCTGATTAATTGGTGTGAACGTTCCAATAGGGCACCAGGGAGATTCTTGTTCAGAAGATGAACGAGTCAGGAAACAATCCACGAATGCTCTCCCTGGTGGCGTTCACCTGTGCGAATGGCAGCCAACCCAGGGAAGCACTCATTAATTGTTTCCCATGCGGTTTGCTGTTTTGACACTTATGTTGCAAGGTGTGGACATTCTAACCTAACATTCTAAATGAGGTATAGGGGTCCTCGTTCTAGAGATAAATGAATTCCTTTTGTGGAAGTACTCGCGAATGGGGAGCGGGCACAATAAACAAACATACAGGGAAAACACATGTAAAAGAGAAGGGAGTTTAACAAACAAGCAGCTGTTCTGCCACACCATGTATCTAGATATCACTGTATTGTGGATCTGTATTCTACACAGAGCACTGTGTGTGTGTCTGTATATGCAGCTGTGGGTCAACAAAAGGGGGGGGGGAGCAGCAGCAGCTCTCGAAACACACTGTGAGTGACCACATGCTGTGGGAGCCAGCAAGTCTATTTACTGGGCTGTGTTGATGTAACCAGAGATTGCTCTGAAGGGATAGGGGGTCCAACCAAGATAACCTTTTGATGTCAGGCTGTATTGGCACAGGGGGAGGTAGTAACTAGAGTAAGGAATCACTTTGTTGCTTTGTAGTTCTTTCTCTGTGACCTGTTCTGTGTTTCCATTGGTGAAAGATTTGTGTAATTGTATGGAGACCCCCTGCTGGGGGTCTGTGTATAACTTGGCTGTACCATGTCCCATTAAACAGTTCAGTTCAGTTGACTTCCAGGACTATGTCTCATCTGGTTAATGGGGGGGGGGGGGTTATGGGTATTTACTTGTGCTGATGGATCCAGAGTGGCTGAAGGAAGGTAATAGCGGAGGTAACCAGTTGGGTTACCCGTGGTCCGCAACAAACACTATACACTATTTATTGAATACCAGCTATCACGAAAGCCACCCTCGCTAGTTTGTAAAGCACTAACAAAGCTGGTAGCAGTGTACAATGAGTACAGATCTTTCAAAGACATTTCCATAAATGCAATGGTTTGACTGATGTACAGGAAAAACTAATAATGCAGAGGAACTGTTAGGAGACTTGGTTTAGATGGACAGAGAGAAGGTCCAGCTGCCATAGAAGGACAGTGTGGAGGACATGTAACTAGAATTTTTCCGGCTGGTGCCATGTTTTTATCAAGAATTTCAGGCAATGAAGGGATTTTTTTCCATTACTGTTCTCATTAACTAATTAATCAACATTATTAAAGTTTTAGCTTGGTTTTGGATTGAGTAGTATTAATTTTTGATAATAAATTATGTTTCTCCCTAAACTCTAACTTTTCCAGGTTTGGGGTATCCCCTACACACCTTTTCTAATAGTAATCCTTCTTTGCTGCACCAGGTTTTAAAAATATGAGGGACCATGCCTACACCAGCCATTGGGCAAACCAGATAATTCACAGCCACCCAACCAGAACCAGATTAACACAGGAGCTATCGGAAGTTGCTCTAGACCCGAGGTACCTGACTTTTATTTATTTCATCTATTTATGTTGCTCCAAAGTGCTCAGTGTTATAGTCATAGTGTGTGGGAAATACTGTCCACATGGAATGAAATACCAGTAGCTTTGACTCCGATTTCCGTAAATCTATATCGGAGATATGAGGGTCCAACCTGTTCCTGCAGTCACTGCTTGTACCCATTGTTCCCCCAGCTGATTTCTCTCAACTCCAGTGTGCTTGTGAAGATAGATTTTATGTTGATGACATTTCCAGTTTGATGGTATTCCGGCTTGGGATCTTTTAGAACACGATTCTGGAATCACAATTTAAAATTTTGTACTAAGGTTCATAGTAATATTCAACCCTAGATCTACGAAGCCCCTAAACCAGCACCAAATCCTATAAAGGTGGGTAGAGATATTCGTTGGGTGGATGTGAGCAGAGCTATTTATTTGACGCTGTTGGTAGAGCTATTCATTTGGTGTTGTGGGCAGAGATATTTGTTTGGCGCTGTGGGCAGGGCTATTTATTTGGCGCTGTGGGCAGAGCTATTTATTTGGCGCTGTGGGCAGGGCTATTTATTTGGTGCTGTGGGTAGAGCTATTTATTTGGCGCTGTGGGCAGGGCTATTTGGCGCTGTGGGTAGGGCTATCTATTTGGCGCTGTGGACAGGGCTATTTATTTGGCACTGTGGGTAAAGCTATTTATTTGGCACTGTGGGTAGAGATATTTATTTGTCGCTGTTGGTAGAGCTATTTATTTGGCGCTGTGGCCAGAGCTATTTATTTGGCGCTGTGGGCATGGCTATTTATTTGGCACTGTGGGCAGGGCTATTTATTTGGCGCTGTATGTAGGGCTATTTATTTGGCGCTGTGGGTAGAGCTATTTATTTGGCGCTGTGGGCAGGGCTATTTATTTGGCGCTGTGGGTAGAGCTATTTATTTGGCACTCTGGGTAGGGCTATTTATTTGGTGCTGTGGGTAGAGCTATTTATTTGGCACTCTGGGTAGAGCTATTTATTTGGCGCTGTGGGTAGGGCTATTTATTTGGTGCTGTGGGTAGGGCTATTTATTTGGCACTGTGGGCAGGGCTAATTATTTGGCGCTGTGGGCAGGGCTATTTATTTGGCGCTGTGGGCATGGCTATTTATTTGGCGCTGTGGGTAGAGCTATTTATTTGGTGCTGTGGGTATGGTATTTATTTGGCTGTGGGCAGAGATATTTATTTGGCTGTGGGTAGAGCTATTTATTTGGTGCTGTGGGTAGGGCTATTTATTTGGCGCTGTGGGCAGGGCTATTTATTTGGCGCTGTGGGTAGAGCTATTTATTTGGCGCTGTGGGCAGGGCTATTTATTTGGCGCTGTGGGTAGAGCTATTTATTTGGTGCTGTGGGTAGGGCTATTTATTTGGCGCTGTGGGTAGAGCTATTTATTTGGTGCTGTGGGTAGGGCTATTTATTTGGCGCTGTGGGTAGAGCTATTTATTTGGTGCTGTGGGTAGGGCTATTTATTTGGCGCTGTGGGTAGAGCTATTTATTTGGTGCTGTGGGTAGGGCTATTTATTTGGCGCTGTGGGCAGGGCTATTTATTTGGCGCTGTGGGTAGAGATTTGTTTGGTGCTATGGCTTTATCTCTGCTTACAATTCAATGGCAGCCAGAGCCAGGAGGATGTGTTCAGCTCCCCTAGGATGGCAGGGCTTCATTTCACCCCATGCTGTCATTGTAATATAGAAAGAGGTCAGAGATGTACACACGACGTCTCTGAAGAAGAGAATACAAGCTCCCTTAACAGCATTTTATTTTATTGATAAAGATTGTGTGTTTGAATGGCATGCATGGAGAGGAAGGGCATGACGTGGATGCCAATAATGAATTGGCATGAGGGCACTATCATGTAATAGAGCAAGAGATAGATGGCAGGAAACTATCATGAAATGTATGTCTTTAGGAAAGATGGGCATAAAATAAAAAGTGGGGTGCGTTAAACAAGGATTATATGTAACGAGGGAATTAATTGAATGGCGTACGGGGAGGGTTATTAAATGTGTAGCAAAGGAATGAATTGTAGGGCATGGGAGGAGGGATACTATATGTGTAGTGGGGGAATAAATTAAATGGCATAGGGGAAGGGTTACTATCAGGGCCGGTGCAAGGATTTTTGCCGCCCTAGGCAAAAGAAAGATTTGCCGCCCCTCTCCCCCCACCCATAAGATCTGCCATATGAACTAGTGCCAGTGCTGCACACAGTGTGTGTTTACATTAAAAAGCCTGCAGGGACCGGCTATAGACACCTGAACAACTTTATTAAGCTGCAGTGGTTCTGGGGACTATAGTGTCCATTTAATGTGGGGTAAATTAGAGATTAGTGTCACTAATAATATACTAGATTGCCTGCTTACAATCAGATGAGGATGGTGATGGGCTCTGGCTGCAGACTGGCTCCACTGGTCTGGTGTAGAACAGGATCTCTGGAGGCTGTTTGTAACTGTGGTCACAAAATTCAATGTTCTGGGAGAACGGGAAGCAGCTCAATTTTTTGGGACCTCTTACATAGCTCAAGGTCTGGGCCCCAGGGCCTGACGGTGAGTATGCCCATAAAGCCCACCCATAAGTCCACCTACATGTTCCACCCATGAGTTCGCTCACAGGGAGTGGAGTGTGTAGGGGATGTGTTATGTGTTACTGTAGAGGATCTAATGTGTGTGGTTATGGAATGTAGTGTATAGGGATACCAGTTTGTGTAGGTGATGCAGTGTGTTTGTGTGTATTGGAAGCAGTGTGTTTTTGTGTAAGGGATAGAAAGCAGTGAGTGTTTGTGTAAGGGATGTATTGTGTGTTTCTTGTTGTGTGTAAGGGATGCATTGTGCGAATCTGTGTTTGTATGCATAAGGGATGCAAAGTGTGTTTCTGTGTATGTAAGGGATGCAGTGTGTGTGTCTGTAAGGGGTGCGTTGAGTGTGTGTAAGAGATGCATTGTGTTTCTGTGTGTGTGTAAGAGAAGCAGTGTGTGTTTGCATGTGTGTGTAATGGATGCATTGTGTGTTTCTGTGTATATGTGCAAAGGATGCATTGTCTTTATGTGTAAGGGTTGCATTGTGTGTTTCTCTGTGTGTAAGGGAAGCATGTTGTGTTTCTGTGTGTATAGGGATGCATTGTGTGTGTGTGTGTGCGCGCGTGGTGTGAAAGAGCTCCCTGTCCTGCCCCTGTCCTATAGAGCTCTCCCTTCCATTCCTTAGAGATCTCCCCTGCCCCTTAGTGGTCTCTCCTCTCCCCCCACCTCCCTTAGTGGTCTCCTTTTCTCCCCGACTTTCCATTAGTGGTCTCTCCTCTCCCCCCACCCTCCCCTAGTGGTCTATCCTCCACCCCCCTCTTTTAGCGGTCTCTCCTCACACCCCTCCCCTAGTGGTCTCTCCACCGCCCCCCCTCCTTTAGTGGTCTCTCCCTCCCCTACGTTCTCATCTCCCATGCCCCATGTTCTCCTCTTATTCCCCCCTCCCCGTGTTCTCCTCTTCTTCTCCCCCCGTCCCTGTAATCTCTTTTTCTCCCCACCTGTAATCTTCTCTTCTTCTCCCCCCTCCCTGTAATCTTCTCCCCTCCCTGCGTCTTCTTCTTCTCCCCTCCCTCCCTCTTAATCTTCTTCTTCTCCCCCCTCCCTCCAATCTTCTCCACTCCCCCTCCCTCCCATCTTCTCCCCCCTCCTGTAACCTTCTCTCCACTCCCCCTCCTCCTGTAATCTTCTCCACCCCTATAGCTTCTCCACTCCCATCCCTCCCTGTAACCTTCTCCGCTCCCCCTCCCTCCCTGTAATCTTCTCCCCTCCTGTAACCTTCTCCTCCCCCCTCCCTCCCTGTAACCTTTCCCCCCTCCCTGTAACCTTCTGCCACCACCTCCCTCCTGTAATCATCTCCCCCCCTCCCTGTGGCCTTCTCCCTCCCCTCCCTCTCCTGTAATCTTCTCCTCCCTCCTATAATCTCCCCCCTGTAATCTTCTCCTCCCTCTATAATCTTCTCCCCCCCTCCCCTATAATCTTCTCCCCCCTATAATCTTCTCCACTCCTCCCCTATAATCTTCTCCCCCCTCTATAATCTTCTCCCTCCCCTATAATCTCTCACCCCCCTCCCATAATCTTCTCCCCCCTCCCCCATTCTATCTTCTCCCCCCCCAATAATCTTTTCCCCTCCTATAATCCTCCCTATACTCTTCTCCCCCTCCTATGATCTTCTCCACCCCATAATCTTCTCCCCCCCTACTA